ATTAGCCTGTCCCACGCCTGGTTTGTATATTTCGGCCGCCAACGCAGCTAATACGGTATTCGTTGAGTGTAACGATTGACCGTTGAGGGTAGCGATTGAAGCTAAAGCGGCCGGATTGCAACTGTAGACATGATGTATGCAAAGGAAAAAAAAAAAAAAAAAGGAAGGAAGTATAGAGTCGTCCGTGGTAAGAGTCTGTGATGCTCGACGACGGGCGAGGAAAAAAATGAGTAAAAGAGTCTGTGGCACGCAATGAAATGGGCAAGGAAGAGAGAGGGGGGCCTGTAGCTTTGTAAGGTAATAAGTCCATTTTTCTCGGGAGATAGATTGTCTGTAAGTAAGTAGAGCCATGAGGGGCGTGAAGAAACTGGTCCGAGTCCGAGTAGTGGGGTCTAAGGAGAAAGAAAATTGTAAGAAAGAAAACTGTAAGGGTAAAAAACAGTGGTCCAGTAGTTGTCCATCTGCGCAGCGGGGTTGTCGACAAAGGATGACAGGCGCTGAATCAAGTAAGGGGCGAAAGTGGGTCGGTGTGGGTGGAGTTATTGTTGGCATCGTTGTTGTCAAGATGTTCAGTAGTGGATGTTGTCCACACTGTTTCTGAGGGTGAGTGCGTGGATGAGTATTGGGTTCTTCCTGATGTATCTTTGGAAAGCCTTTGAGGACCATCGCCCTGCCGCCTGGATGAGGTGAGGTGCAACTCCGGCTTCGGCCAAGAAGGTTGCCCCTCCAGCACGCATGGATTGGCCAGCGATTTGTGGGGGAAAGAAATTCCTCAGGCGATCTATGAAGAAAGATCTAGTTGGGTGAGTCCCATCCTCCCTCAACCAGAGTTCCCTCCGCAAAGGAAAACGTTTTGCTTGGTCGGCGAGATACGAGCAGAAGTGACTGTGCGGATCAGAAGCGTGCCCTGTCTTTCTGATCAAGATCTTGTTTCCTTCAAAGAATGCATCGGCCTTATGTGTGGGCAGGGCGAAATCAAACGAGTCAGGGCGGACATTGACAGAGAGTATGTTGACGGTTTTTCGGCTGTCTCTTAACCTCTCATCATCAGGTTGTGTCAGCTCGCCCAATCTGAGTAGGCCATAGAAACCTGTAGTGAGTTGGGCGACGAACAATTTGTCATTGTGGTTTGTGGAGTCAGCATAGAAGTCAATGACTTCTATGAGGTGGTCTCGCGTGAGTGGTAATTTTCGGTTCGTGTTTTTGGAGTTGAGTCTCATGCAACCAGCCAGGGTGTTTCTCACTAGGCGAGAATTTCTGATGCTGCGAATGTCCGGGAAGTACGCTTCCAGTTGGTTGCAGATTCCTGAGAGATAGGTTCTGACTGAGCGTGGTTCAATATGGTGTGACATATACACTACGTAGAAGGATAATGTGTCTTCAGTCGGCCGCGCTTCCATGTTGTGTAGTTTGACAAAGTTTAGATAAGAGTTCAGTGCTGACCCATAACATAAGGAGGTACCAGAGTCAATGGATGCACCTAAAGCAAGAGACCGTTCTCTAACGAGTCTCTCTTGTGACCAAGCAGCCCTCCTTCGCTGCCTAGCCTTTACATGTGAAGTAATCATTTTTCTGCTGCCCCCAGCGCTCCACGAGGGGGTTGAAAGGTGTCCACACTCAGAGATGGGAAAAGTTGCCGGGCTTCGTCAAATGCACTTCAGGAAATGAGATCCGCTACCTGGTTCTGATCTCCTGGAATGTAACGGACTTTGAGTTTGTGGCCACCTGATATGATCAAGTCAACTGTGAACTTTAGCAAGTCGTTGTAGAGGGGGAGTGCATGAAGACTGTTGAAAATGTTTACTGTGTTTGTGTTGTCGGTGTATATAATCACTTTGATTGGGTAACCAGCCTCTGCTGTTACCGTAGCAAAAGCTGATGTGACTGCCAAAGCTTCAAAAAAGAAGATCAAACTTTGAGGTGTGCCACTTGGAGTTGGCGAGTAGAAGCCTCTTCGTGTGTATGGAAGCCAGAAACCCATTCCTGTGAGGCATGCATCAGATTCCACAACGGCATCTGCTTCTGCCTCATCCCAAGCCATCGATTGCAGAAGATGTACTCCATTGGATTTCTCCATGTGGTCAGCTGCCCATAAGAGGTCTGCCTTGATGGCCTTGTTTGACCAAATTCTTGCATGTGGGAAATCGCCAACTGCATTTAGCTTTGCATAAACGTTTGAGAGGGCCGGTACCAACAAGGGAAACACATTTAGTCCCCAGTTGACCCAGCCAGCTAAGCGCTGCCATGCCCGTTTGGTAAAATACTTTGACTTCCCACGTGGGGACTCAGCAAAGCGTCTCATTTCTGCGATTAGTGATTGTTTTGCTTCATTGGGTAGAGTCATCGTCATTGCATTGGGGTCAACAAGGACACCAATGATGACTAATGTGCTGCCGAAGACTTGTTTCTTTGGCTTGTGTGGGATTCCAAGCTCGTCCCAGAGTTTGAGTAGCTTAACTTGATTGGTGGGCATAGTGCAGTTGTAAGGTTCATACCATGTGAGGTCACCTTCATCTCCTACACCAAAAGTGTCATCGTTGAAGACAAAAGGGGACGTTACTCCCTTAACATTTTTTGCAATCCATGTCACAAGGCAGTTGACTGAACCCCAGCAGTTAAGTGACGCTCTCCCTCCAAAGCAATTGCAGCGATCAATGTGACGGTGTCCATCAATGGTGACAACTTGCTTTAACTGCCATAGTTTATGCATGGGGATGAGGCGATAAGCCTCTGCAACATCTGATTTCCACAGAATCAGCTTGCGGTCAGAGTACTCACGAATACGTAGTAAGAATTGCCCCAAGTGCTTCATATTGTCTAAAGGGAAACCTGCTATGTCCTCGTAAGCTACCATGGAGTTGAGCGAGTATTGGCCAGCTGTGAGGTCAGTGACCAATCTAAAGTCAGTTGAATGCGGCTTGGGGACGGCATAAATTGGGGAACTAGTCATTGATGGGAAAAGATTTTTTCCAAAAGAAGGTGAGAATCGACCTTTCTCAATCTCGATATCCCTCTGGACCCTCAAGAAGTCTGCCTCTGCAGGGTCTCTTGGTGTCTCTGTAGACATATCGCAGATGGAGGGGTATGACTCTGGGTGTGTGTTGGCATAGGGCCAGAATCCATTTCGGAGTCCAGCTATAACCGAACTAACAAATGGCTGATTTGGGTGTGTGCTTAAGAGTTCTTCGAATCTATTGATGTTGATAGGTGTCACAATCTTGAATAGGTCTGCATGCTCTTTCAAGGTGGTTAGGGATCTCTCGTTTGTCAGCTCGGCAGCAGGGGGATTGGGTAATGGTTTTGCTTGCTCGGACCACTCTGCTGTGGTAGGTGTCAAGTTGGCATTGTGGTGATAGTAATTGTAACGTAAGTATTTTGGTTTATCGTCCTTTATAGCCTCAAATCTTGCCAGTCGTTGTACACTCGTGCTTGGGATGTGCTCCTCCACATGATTTGCATGCATGGGACCAGTAACATGAGGATGAGTCGAATGGGCAGCCTTTGACTGTGTTCCACCATTTACAAATGGTTGGGTTTCCTCCAGCTCCACCTCTTTTAGCTGGACCTGTCCCGGAGACCCTTTTGCTACCATAGTTGATTCCGTCGACATTAAGTGTGGAGTCGTGTAAGTCAAGGAACTCGTGTTCATCAGTAAGTAAGATCCTTGTCCCTCCCCCAACCCTTGTTCTGATGGCTCGGTCATAAGCGATGACTTTACCGTGTGCGGACTCATGTTTTGCCGCAAATAGGTTGAGGATTCTGCTGGTGTAGCTCTGGAATTCTTCTTCCCGGTCTGGGAAAGCAAACCGAAGTGCTTTGGCATAGATGTTTGCTGCAACGAGCCATTGGCCGCTGCTCTCAACCTTTCGAAGCGGAGCGCTGTATCCAAAGATGAGTTCACGACCTCCGAGACGCCCTCTATTCTCTTTAGGAGCTCCCAGATGTCCGACCGAGCTGTAGATGGTATCAAAGCAGGCAGACTCTCCTCTGAGGAGTTTGTCCCATTCGGAAGAGGGGAAGTCTGACGGAGCAGTGTGCGAAGTGAGGATCTGTCTTTTGACCTCTCCAGAGTTCCGCATATAACGTTGGAGGAGCTTACGGTTTGCAGCGTATCTGGGGTCTCTAGTCTCTCTAGCAAGCTTTTCTTGGGCATACCAAGGCATCTTCCTTCCATCAACTTTCCTTCGTTTTGGATTGGGCTCATCATCCTTTTCAGAAGCACTGGAGGACTCATCGTCGGAATCGGAGTCGACTGAGCTGCCATGATCTTTTGTAGAGAGTCCTCGTTGGACTGATTTGACATATTCATCAGTGAGACGGTCGACTGTTCGTGGAGAATGTGATCGTCTAATGGCTGCAGGTTGCTCAATGCCGCCTTGTTCAATACCGAGAACATTTGTTCGTTCATCATGCTCTCGTCGGTGGTTGCCAGTTTGAGAACTTCTTTCAATACTCTGACTTGCTCTTCTGTTAGCCTGGGTCGTTTTGTGACGCTTGGCTCTGCGTTGCTGAGTTCGCGCTTTCTTTTCGATGTTCTCAAGCAATGACAAGTAACTGGTGATGGTGTCTTGTCGTGCGTCGGCGGGAATGTTGGAAGAGTTGGCTGTACTGACAATAGACGTAATGGTAATTGGCTTGGACTTCTTTCCTCTTCTGAACAGTTCGAGGTGTTCGTCAAGTTGTTGAATGATGGCACGCTCGGCCCCAACCGGTGTAATAGGGGCAAGTTCTGTAGGTGTGGCGCTGATGGCACCGGGTCCAGTCTGTGATTGCCCAGCCGGATTGGTTGGCTGAGTGTCAGATTGGAGAGATTGCTCGGTAGTCTGTGTATGGAACTGTTCTCCATGGGCACTCATGTGAAATAAGAGAAATAGATTTGAGGACTGGTCCGATGAACGAAAGTTCCAGATGTCACATCAACCGTATCTAGTATAACTTGCGCCAACAACCTAGAGGGAGGCAGTCGAAGTGGAAGTCCGTCAACTAATTTGGTCACGGATTGGACACACCCGGAATTGAACCGGGCACCGCCCGCAGCTGCATCTGAAATGCTAAGCGGGCGTGATAACCAACTACACCATGTGCCCCTGTGAATATCGATGCACATTTAGTTTTGGATCAGGGCAGGGTGGGTTCGCGGAAGCAAGGCCTTTGCTGGAGAAGCTCTGGCGCAGTACACCACCTAAGGAAATCATGCCTTCCCTCTTTGTGGCCTGCGGATGATTCTAGCACGCTCGATCTATTTAAGCCCTGTCCGGATCACTTCCCAGAACTATTAATGAAGTAATGACTTCTCATGATCACGGTTCATGTTCAAATTGTTCTTATCTATTAGCTTAGTTGGAGCTTGTTTATGTATGTATGTCAGTTCGTGCTCTGGAAAGAAACCGGGAGGTGTCAAAATTTCTATCTTTCTTCGTTGCGCACATGTGTTGGCTCAATCCATGAATAGCAGGCAGGCAAGGCTACTTTGATTGCGTCATATCAGTCCGTTCTCTCTGACTCCCTCACTCTCAACAATCTGCGTTCCTGCATGCCAGGGCAGGCCACCTCAGCATCTCTACGAGGGGGCATGGTCATAGCATATCTTGTCATATCCTAGATACACACATAGCAAGGAAGAGAAAAATATATTGCATCGACGACGACGGGGGGAAGGGCAGGGGATGTGTGTAGCGTGCAAATAAGGTGCGTAAGATAGATGGGGGAGACACCTTAAGCGGTCTTGTGCGCGGCCTTGATGGCAGCGGCCTTTGCCTTCTTCTCTGCAACGCGCTTGGCGAGGAGAGCGTCGAACTCTGCTTTTTGCTCCTTCTGGTGCTCGATGCGGCGGCGCTTGAGCGAGTGGAGGTGGCGGCGACGCTGAAGGCGGAGGGGGGTGACCAGGCGCTGGATCTTGGGACTTTCGCAATCTATGAGATACAGGCAGGGATTTTCAACGAGAAGAACACTCACGCCTTGGTATAAGGCTTAGCATTCTCCTTCTTCTGGCTCTTAACCTCCCGCCTGACGACGTACTTCCTGACATCGTCCTCCTTGCCGAGGTTGAAGAACCTCCTGATCTTGGTGGCACGCTTGGGGCCGAGCCTCTTGGGGAGGACGTTGTCGGTGAGGCCGGGGACGTCGCCATCGCCCTGCTTGACGATGACAAGGGAGAGGACGGCGATGTCGGGGCCGACGATGCAGCCGCGGACGGACTTGCGCTTGCGCTCACCGGCGCGGCGGGTGCGGTAGCAGGAGTGGCCGTCGGCGAGCAGGAGGCGGACACGGTACGGGAGGAGGACACCCTGCTTCATGGGGAAGCCCTGCTTGTCGTTACCACCGGTGATGCGGAAGATGTAGCCTTTCCATTCGTCGCCGAGAGAATCGCCGGGGACCTCTTGTGAGATTTTTTTGTCGTAGAAGACGCGGCTGAACGGGGGTTGGTTGAGATGTGAGAGAAGGATAACAAGACGTACTAGCGGCGTTCTTCGTCGATGTCGATGAGTTTTTGGGCACCCGTCGCGGGGTCTGCAGATGAGCATGGGCGCGGCTGGGACACAACGGACAGCACTCACTGGCAATGTTGAACTTCATGCTGGGCGGACAACGGGCGGCGGAGGGCGACGACCTCTTGCAATGGGTTTTTCGCGGACAATCTCACGTGAGCAATCGGTGGCCGTTTTGTCAACTGTACAGTTGCCATCACAAGCCCCCCGGGAGTTGCCGGTCACATAACACAAGTCCACGGCACTTTTGCAGGAGTCGATCGCTCCTCAAGACACCGCTCCTCACATCAGCAAACATGGGTCGTATGCATGCACCGGGCAAGGGCATTTGTGAGTCGCACGCGTCTCTCTATTCTGCTCGTACTCATTTCCTGCAGCGTCCTCTGCCCTCCCCTACCGCCGCGCTCCCCCTGCATGGCTCAAGACGACCCCAGAGGACGTCGTAGACCACATCACCAAACTCGCCCGCAAGGGCCTCACCCCCTCCCAAATTGGTGTCACCCTCCGTGACTCCCACGGCATCCCCCAGGTCCGCTTCGTCACCGGCAACAAGATCCTCCGTATCCTCAAGTCCCACGGTAACCGTCCCCTCTCCCCCCTCCGCCTCTGCTAACTCTCTTTTTCTCTCTCCCTCCTTCCTCCCTTATCCCGTTGCACACTTTCCGTGTACCTTTTTGTTTGGGGATAGGACTTGCGCCATCCATCCCTGAGGACCTCTGGCACCTCATCAAAAAGGCGGTCGCTGTCCGCAAGCATCTCGAGACCAACAGGAAAGACAAGGACTCCAAGTTCCGTCTTATCCTCATCGAGTCCAGGATTCACCGTCTCGCTCGTTACTACAAGACCAAGCAGCAGATCCCCCCTACTTTCAAGTACGACTCTGCTACCGCTTCGACTCTTGTTTCGTAAATAGTAGGGGTGATTCGTATGGTTCCTATGTAGTCATCAATACATGTGATATGCCACGACATTTGTTGTGATTTCGACCATTTGCAGTCCTCCAAAACTTTATCTACTGTAAAGCAGGCTCTGAAATTTGGATGTGGCGATCTGTCTGTCTCTTCACGATAAATCATTCATTGGCTCCAATGACTGGATCCAGGCCGGTTTTTTATTTGGGTCTTTCTACCGGGTGAGTACTGGGTCGCTTTTCAGGAGGGCCGTTACGGCCTGTCCCACGCCCGGTTCAATGTATTGGCCACTGACGCAACTATGGACTACGTACGACAAAGTACGAGATAGGGAGTGGAGTGGTGGGTCGACAGAGAATACCTGAGTAGATAATCCGTTGCGACAATGAACTACTATTTTGCCCTTCAGTGGAAGTTCCATTCTCGTTTGAATACTCTTACCTAGAGGAAGGCGGTCGAAGTGGAAGTTCCACAGAGTGAGCAGTTCCACTCGCGCCTCCTCTCTAGGTCACACGTGATCGTTTGTCGCAACTGATTAGATCCCTTCATTGGTGGTGTAAAAACTTAGTTTTGACTTCACAAAAGACAAAAGTAATATTACCATTGGACACACCCGGAATTGAACCGGGGACCGCCCGCAGCCACTTTTCAAGGAACTCATGCTAAGCGGGCGTGATAACCAACTACACCATGTGCCCATGTCAACAATCATGCCCATGGACATACCACCTGTCTGTCGTGAATGGTGACAACGATGCGGGGTCACAGGGTCAATGTATATGCCAACCTGTATCAAGAACTCCCAGCAAGTCTAAGCATCAGGAATACCAATGTCTCGGCTTCAAATCGAGCTCAGAAATGAGCTTACTGCAAAGATAGGTTTATGCACTGCCCCTCGTGTGATGAGGACTATGTCGCCCAGTGCCAAAAAGATCAAGGCACCTCAGACTCCAAAATGACATGCCCAGTAAGTGAGAAGTTCTGACATCACAACTTAGGAGGACAGAAAAGCGAGGTCCTGTACTTGATCTCTCATAAGTAAAAATGAGATATACCAAGCCAGCTGAACTGGAATTCTTGTCAGGGGACTTCCATTTTTTCTATTTTCTTTGCCCTTCTACACTTTGCTCTGCCTCCTTGCACCATTCCCCAGGACCTCTAAGGCCTGCTCTAGACCTCCAGAAATCTCTAAAGGTCATTTCCTTCTTGGGCAGCTCCAAAACATCTTGCACTCCCTGTTTGAGCATTGTCAAAGGTTAAGGTAAGCTTTGGTCCTCTACACAAAACACTTATATCTCATGATTTTTCTCAATCTTCTGGCATTTTTTTCAAAGAGTTTTGAGCAGATAGTCATCCTCATTGTGGACAATGATAATGACAAAGGTTACATCAGCAGTCATCACAATGCCAAGGCAACAGGGTCCATCAGACATCATGTTGATGAATGGTGGAAACGGTCTTGGTGAGGAATCCAAAGAAGCTGGGGTGATGTAGCAGTTGATCTGAAAATTTTCCTTATTTTAGTTATTTTTGAGGGATATTTTGAGCTCATCATGTGGGACAGTGAGCAGAGGGTAGTCAGTGTTAGGAGTGGTATTGATGGTGCTGCCAACAGCACCAAATGATGTTGACAGATAATCTGTCAATGTCCACAACAGCACTGCCAGCTTTTACTGCAATTTTCTCAGGTATTATCTAATAAAGAACTAGTGAGTTTGACTCTAATTAGAAGAGTAGGTGACCCCCTTCCTCCCTCTCTTATTGGAGGGGTTGAGTGGGACACACAGGTGCATTAAATGGTTACTAAGCTATTAATGACTGTAGACGAATACAGTTATTAGTCCTCAGTCACACCAGTAAATGTTGTTCGACTGAGTATTACCTGTAGACGAAT